CAGTAGCATTTTTCAAGAAAATAAGGGAAAAATTATTACATTGTTTACTTGAAATTATTATTAAAATTTAGAAACCCATCACAATTAATCTCCTACCTTTTTGAAATCTGGTTTGTTTTTTTTTGTTTTTTTTTTAAGAATGTTATTACAGAAAATGTCATGGAACTATAGCATTTTCAAGTTGGAAATGTCTGTTCTTCCCACCTTTCTTCCTTAGATATTTTCCCAAAGAGCTCTAGCCTATCACTGTAAACACCTCCAGGAAATGCATTAACATACCACACACCTAAATGCGCTTTCTGTCTCTAGACTTCTTTCTTGGCCACTCATTGACTTGGCTCCCCTGTGTTCTTCCCCACCTTCTCTGGTATGAAGGAAGGACCTGATATCTTGCTGCTGTCAGATTACCCTCAGACTTGGATGCCTCCATTTTCTCTCATCTGAGATGTGAGAATTCTCAAGAATAAAATCTGTGTCTAATAGTTGTCTCTGCTCTTCATCCCTTCAACTGTTTGCTCTGGTTTGGAAGCTCCTTGGTCCTTTGATAAATGATCAGGATTTTATACTTCATCCGCTCTTACTGTGTGAAGGTCCTTCGGTGCTTGTCCCTTCTCTATGTGGGCTACAGATCTGCTACTGTCACACAGTGTTCTTTCTGGCTTCCTCCTCTTTGTCTGTCCTTCAGGGTTTAGTTCCCCATCTTAACCATGCCTGGCAGCTAAGAGTATCTCCAAATTCCATACACTTTGCCATTTGGTGAAAAAATAGGCTCAGAGATCGTCTAGAAAAATTGCAAACTGTCTCCCATTAAAGTTTTGTGAGTCTGTCATGGGAATTTAGTACAGGTTCTTGGCTGCTCGTTTCTCCTCTTTATCTGGGACTGCTTCCATTTTATTTGTTTTATTTCTATGTGTTCCTTTTTTAAACAAAAGTAAGGCAACGAAAATATAGTATAATACATAATAGAGATCTAATTGGAGCCTGAGTCTCCAACCCCAAAGCCTTGCTTTTGGCTCTTCCTCTGAAGCTGTAACTGCTTCCAGTAGGTCATTATTGCCAGTGACCAAAGCACTAAAGATGAATTAGCATTGAGTCAGAGTCAGCAGGCCAGCTCACTTGTCTTAGTTCTTCCAGTATTTTAAAGGTTTTTTTAACCTTCATTTTTAACTATAAAATAAGAATAATGCAATACATTATCTACCCATATTACTGAACAGTTGTGAAAGTAATTGTTTCCGAGTTGAGATGCTTTCATTGAAGTGGTTTTTTTGTTTTGTTTTTGTTTTGTTTTACTATTTCAGAGCTTAAGAATAATATGAGGATAAGGATTTTGTCTACTATATGAGGTTGCTTTGAAGATTAAATAAAGTTTTTAGTGCACTAAGGCAATGCCTGGATTTTAATAACTGTTCAATAAACAACAGCTGTTGCTAATAGTTGCCTCAAAGCAGGCATTCACAAATATTTAGAATATTCACTATCTTTTCTGTCACAAACAATGCAATATGGTCTGGACAGACATCAGTTAAGCAGTTCAGTAGTAGCATTATTTTATAAATATTTCCATTTAAATCTTCTTAAAAATAGGAAATATAATACTTTGAACCTTGAGTATACTGCCTGAGAAAGAATTTTAATCAATGTTCAGATTCTAATGTTGGAGGCATATGAAAAGGTGTGTGTGAGTAAGCAAACATGGAGACATGCTGTTTATACTATAGCTAAATGAGTTTCCTCACATCTCTCTTTCCATCTTTATGTTTCTCTTATATTTGATCATTTGAATAACCCAGTATTCCAACTTTTTATCCCTCATAATGTAGAGTTTAACCTACCTTGGCATGATTTATTTTAAACAAATATCCTTGGTAAAGTTACTGAAATTTTAGACTACTAAAACATTTTGTTATAAAGAGGATTCAATGGAACATTAATTTAAATTGTCACTTGAAATGTGTCCAGTTTAAAGATTTAGCAGGCAATGTAATTCTGGCAGACAGTATCTGAGAAATTACTTCTGAAAAGAATTTAAACCTCAATGTATAATTACAATTAGGAGAAAGATTTACCAAACCAAAATTAATGTAGCTTGAAATTTGTGTAAATCTAACTTGAGAGATGAAAATAGTTATCAGATGGTGAGGGAGAGCATACCTTAAGTTTACTGTTCGAAAATAGAGCTCATTTTAGCTCACTATGTCCACGGGTATAGATTACTCTGTATTTTCTTGCCTTTTAATTTCCTGAATATGAATTGACCTGTACAGGCTTTATTAGTCTCTAGGGAATAAAAATTGCAGTAAGACATAGAATCTCTTCAATTAGAGCTATACCCCCCATATTGTCTAAGTAGTGTTACTTTGTGGACAGCCACTGAGGAAAAAAAGGAAGATTCTTTTGTCAAACTTGATTTTTGATTACCTATGTACAGACGGATCAGCTTTCCCGTAGCAGTGAACAAAAGCCTGATCGAAGCCAGGCTATTCGAGACCGATTGAGAGGAAAAGGATTGCCAACAGGTAAGTATGTTAATAGGAAATTTATAGGCTTTCACCTATTCTATTTTTTATGAAAATATACTTACCTGGCATGGAAATCTAATAATTATGACTTGCTCATGAGAAAATAGGGATGTGAAGTGGAAGCAAGGAGCAGACAAATACATTAGGGTTAGTAATAAATAAATGCATTACAGTGATGCAGAAAATATTAACAATCAGAACTCCCACACAGACTGTTTTCCTTTCCAATATTGTTTCATCATCATTTATTTACTTTAGCAAGATATAGTAAAATACATTTTAAAACAGAACCAAATTACTCATACATATATTCACAAACATTAACATTACTGAAACAAAAGTTTCTGAAAGTGATGTTATTCATACTGTACTCTGGAATTTCTATTCTATTTCTCTTTTTCATGCTAGTCACAATCCACTAAAAATGATTTCATGAATACGTAATTTAATAACTTGGACTTGTCAAGTACTGCCTTGGGTTATAGGATACTTACTAAATAAACATGAATAATGAATAGTGGTTTGGTTATTTGCCAATAACATTATAGAATTATGAATCTATAATGATTTTAATAGATGATATTTTAAAAGAAATGCGTGGAAACTATAAATATTTGAGATAAAAAGGAGAAATAAAATTTTATGTGATATTTTTAGTGCTAAGAATCAGCCTTGGCTTATTTATAAAGTGAAGTTTTGATTTTGTAGATTATCTCCATTATTTTCTTTTTACTTTTCATCAAGAACTGTTGAAAGTCATGATAACATAAATATTTGCAAGAATATTTTGTGGGAAGAAAAAACAAATGTAAAGATAGCAAGTTTATTCTAATAAAATGTTCTGAATCCATTTTTTATGTAATCTAATAAAACTGATTAGAAAGTTAACATTTCTAATTATCCATTTAATCAGAAAACTATATATAGTTATGTTATTTTTTAAGAATCTGAGAGAAACCTGTGTAAAATTAAATATAGCACTTGAATGTCTGGACCAAATGTTCTGTAGAGCTCAGAAATCTCAGGGGGAGAATGTACCTGCAACCAGGGTGCGCTTCTTGGGAGAAGTCAAAAGAGTAGTGAATAAAGGTGTTTCTGTGGAGGCTGATGACCTCACTAGTGAGACATCCTGTTGGTGCTTGATTCTACTTGCTATAAGATTAATAAGATTATTCTTCAAAAAGTGTCTTAGCTTTTATATAAAGATAGCAAATTTATTTGTTTCTGGTTAGATAAAGTTTCTTCTCCTGTAGCCCCAGCTGGCCTGGAGCTTGCTATGTAGACCAGGCTGGCCTCGAACTCACAAATCTGCCTGCCTCTGCCTCCCGAGTACTGGGATTAAAGGCATGCGCCACCACACCTGGCAAATATCTTCTTTAATATATGTTATTTGTATGCATATAAAAATACAAAGTGAGCTTTGTCTAACTTACTTTTGGGAATGCTCTGATAGCAACTAAATTTTTTTAAATCATTTTTTGGACATATTTGCTTTACTGTACCCATGTTGCATCTATATAGACACACTTTATGTAGGTAAAAGTCTATTTCCTTTTATACTGTACTAG